TATATATTCATACTGTTGGCCGGCAAAACTTTGCTCACTTTTAAATCATGCGGAGAAGCTATTTATCTCGTTAAGCTGAAGCTATTCCTCTCGTTTAAAGTCGGAGATAGTGGCTTACAGCTCAAGCAGCCCGTAGCTGTTTGGTGCTGATGTTCAGCGTTTCCCACTGCTGGAAAAAGCTTTACATATTCAGCTATTTTTACCAGACAGCTTATCCGTTTTGCTAAACTGTATGAGGAAAGGCTGAGCAAGCTGTGACTCTTCTGCCTGGAAAAGAGAAGGCTCATGAGGGTAATCTCATCCATGTATATGAATACCTGAGGACAGGATGCAAAGAAGACAGAGCCTGGCTCTTTCCAGTGGTGCCCAGTGACAGGATCAGAGACAGTGGGCACAGATTGAAACACAGGAGGTTCTTGCTGAACGTCAGGAAACAGTTTTTGCTGTGGGAGCGACAGGGCACTGGCACAGGTTGGGCAGAGAGCTGCTGGAATCTCCACTCCTTGGGAAATAATTCAAAGCTATCTAGACATGCAATCTACTCAAGCAGGAGGTTGGACCAGATGACCTCCAGAGGTCCCTTCCAACCTCAGCCACTCTGCGATTCTGCAAAAAAATTTCCAAGGAACAGTCACTGATGCTGGTGGTATTCAATAATCCTAACTAGATTTAACTTGTGAGGTTACAGAGGTTGCCTTGAGGTTTTGGTGGTTTTCTGTTGACAACAGTGTTGCAGAAGAGCAACTAAGAAGCCTGATTTCTTCTTATTATTCATAACGTCTGGAAAAGAAAGAAGATATAACTTGCCTTGGTTTTCAAGGCCTAGTGCAAGAAAAAAAACCCCAAATTTTCAACTCTTCTTGAAAAGTGAATAACTTTTGATATGGGATTATAGTGAGAATAATTAGACACAGTGTGAGGTTATATTTAGGGGTTTTTAGATTTTTTTAAAGATTTTTTTTTGGAGGAAAACTTAATTTAATGTAATCAATGCTTCTTTTTACATAGAAGTTGAACAACTGAGTTTACCAAATGAAGGCTGAGATTTATGCTCAACTTGGCAGCCACCTCTACAATACAACCTTGTTACTGAAAAAAAAAATAAAAAAAATTTAATTGACTCTCTTGGTTTAAAGTTCTACGGTATTATAATTTACACTATGATTGCACCTGAAGGCTTCAGTTAACAGCAGTGCATCACAATACCAGGGGAACTGTGGTTATATTGCAAGAGACTGTCTCTATCCAAGGGTATGACAAATTAACTAGGTAAGGTCAAGAAAGAGTTTTAAACAAGCAACATTACTGCAAGCTCTTTCTACCTCAAGTGATAAAAACAATAAATAAATTGTGTCAAGCCCACAAAAAAGTAATGAAGTTTTGATATAGTAGTCTTCATATTTGCTAAATTTCATGGTTAATAATTAAGCTAGTAGCTATAGCTACTCCACACCTGGGGATAATCATAAGGCTGGTCAGGTGGGACACTGAAATTTATAAAGAATAGGCTTTATCCTCTGTGCTCTAGAAAATAACTAGAAAGTCCTCGACCATAAAGACAATGTATATAGAATTGTGTAGAAAATGAGTTATTTGACAACTTGACAAAATGATTAATCGATCAGTTAACCTGGCAATGAAACCAACTTTTGGCTGTCCTTAAAGTGAACTGCCTTTATTATAATACTAAAAGACACACGCACAGGTCAAAAAGACCCCTGCCCAAGTTAAGACCCTTCTTTTGTGCATGCATAGTATTAGAAGCATTATGTAAGCTGTATTATAATTATATGTTAATTACTAACCAATCAGTATCTAATAGGCATGTTAAGGAATAGTACTAACTTCTGATTTTTGTGTATAAAAGGCATTTGAAACCCTACTGTTGTTGTGCTTGATTTGTGGAAAAATCTACAGAGCACCCAGGCCTGAATAAATTGTAATATCTCTCCTGAGCATGTTAAGATTGGTTCATTGCATGCCAGGCATGAATCTGCTTTCCAAGTGACAGTTTGGTTTAAAGACAATATTTTTAAAATTAGCAGTGTTTTTGTTGGGATTTTTTGTTTGTTTGTGTGTGGGTTTGGAGTTTTTGTTTGTTTGTTTGTTTGTTTGTTTGTTTAATGCCAGTCTTTATGGTTCATTCATTTCTGGCTTTTCTCTCAAGGTGTGAGAGTCAGAAAGCTTTAATTAAAAAAAGCGAAAACTTCCTCTCACTAGCATGAATCCAAGAACTGAAGAGATTTAAAATGACTCAGCCAGTCTGCTAACACTGTTTTGCACATGTGTAATTGTCTTTTTCAGGCGAGATGTTTTACAGTTGCTTTGGTACTGTGAATGATGACTGCTCATTACACAGCACTGTGTAGTGGAAGATCTCTGTTGCAGATTCAGTCTTGTCATATAACTGTTGGTACCAATGTCTCCAGACTTCCTTAATGAGCCTTGAATGAGCCACATATCCAAATATGTGTAACCTAAACATTGAATACAAACAGAGTTAAGTTGAATAACTGATAAATTATATGAATATTTTCTTCCCATTGTATCCACACAAACTGGAGTCAAAGGGAATTATATTTCTAAAAATCTTATGTCATTCTTAGATTTTGAAATATTCAGCCAGGATCCTGAATGGAGGATTTACCCCGAAGTGTTGCATGTAGGACTTCACCAGGCAGTAAGGATTTGAAGAAATGACCAGTTTAACCACTAGAGGTCCGTTTCACACAGATTGTTTGCAGAGTATAGGATGGACTGAATATTAGTATCAAAATCTTAAACTTTTGCATATGGAAACAAATATCTAAACTATTTTGCTTCAAGTGGCTAGTATGAGAAGGCCACCCTAAATGAAAACATCTGTTTTTTGGTTTCTGACATGTCTTGTAGTAGCAGGTAGATCTTTGCTTCTTTTTTAATACTTGTCTATTCAGCAGATTACTGAAGAAAACTAAATGAGAGACTAGTTCAGTGTGTATCTGCTGGTGATTTTGCTCATTCCTCATCCCTAAATAAGAGGATGAAGTCACTGTGCAAGATAACTCATGAAAGCCCGCTTTAGCATCCTTATCTTTTTCTCAAGAAATTTTGGAGACACCAGTCAAAAGACCTTGCTAATGGCCTCTCTTTATAGATATTAGACAAATTACAGAGGCAGAACTGCATACTGGGAAATGAGATACTCTGACCTAAAATTAATTATCAAATGCAGAGTCATAAGGAGAGGAGTCACTGTTCTATAAACTTGTCTGAGACTTTAGAGAATCATCTCAGTTAAAGATATCGTGCATGGCTTCGGGTACACAACTACAGACAGACTTGTAAGGATAGGGAGTGGGTGGGTACCAGTTGAAGGACAAAGTTCTTAACTCCTGCAGCCCCTCCATGTGCGTGCCTCAGCTTTCATTAGAGATGTTCCCAAAGCTGAATTATTGATTACGTGTATGTCTAGAGCAATTTCAGACTTTCAGTATTGTTTCTCCACAGCTCAACCAAATCTGTCTAACTCCTGAGAGTCCAGGGTGCACGGTACATATGTTTAAAACTGGACCCAGCCCCAAGTGTAGCTGTTCTGTGTAGGCAAAGCCAGGGCCAGTGGTGGAGCTGTTGCTGCTCTCCCTATTTATTCAGCTGGGCTGAAAAGGCTTTGCTTGATGGTCTCATACATCCCAGTTTCCATTCCAAAGGCTGCCAAGAAGCTCTTCCTGGGCATGTCTTTGGTTCAGACTACATGCTAGATGTCAGTACCTGATACCTTCTCTGTTCAGTCAGTACAAGTAGTCAATAGGCAGCCCCACTGCCCACCAAACGCTGGTATATGCTGGTGACTGCTCAAGGAAGGTAGTTGGGACTGGGGAAAAATACTGGTCCCAATATGGAGGACCACTGCATCTTTGCACTTAAGGCTTGTTTATCACAAACGGCATATGTGATCCTCAGAGCAGGTGTCAGGGGCCAGGCATAAATCATAGCTGATGTAGCTTGTGCTGTTGGTGTGGATACTGAATGTTTAATCATCAGTAAGTGCATCTACCAGTGCTACTGTTCTGCCCCTCTGTCGTATCCAGGGTCATACACAAACGACTGGAATCAGAGAGGTTTCAGGCATCCACACATTTTCTGAAAACACTGTCATACCCATGCCCCAGGATAGTAACTTATCACAACACATGCTTCAAGAGAAGACTACTTGCCATGCCCCTTTTTATGTGCACCTTTCTGTGTCCCTGCCCCCTCGATGAACATCTAATGTGTAGAGGGAAACCTGTGATTTATGTGTTTTGTCCAAAACCCAGCGGCTGAAGTATCAGGTTACATGGAAAGATGACAAGGAATTACAGGTAGGAACATGCGAAGGCTAGAAAGTTAAAAGCAACAAAGAAACAACAATAACTTAGCTAGTTGGCA